TGTTTGTAAATGTGTATGGTGTGATCTAGAAAATGGGCTGGTCAGGGGACTGGGTGTTAGCACTCCCTTCAGACAGGAGCTCAAGTTGTTTCTCCTCATGGAAAGTGGATACCTGTCTGGGTAACTTAAGTGTGGAAGTATTTCCATGGCTCAGGGTTGAGAAATGGGGCAGAGCTTGCCCTCCCCTTTTTGCTATGGGGCTGGAACGCTGCTGGCATCTGAACTCCATTTACATGCTGCAGAATATGCTCCCAGGATGAAATAGCTCTGGGTCAGTTTCTGATCTGACTGTTCCAGCATGCTGTGTGTTTCGGAGGGAGAGGAAACTGTTGTTGCTGTTAAACCTGTTTGTATCATACAGTAAGACTCAATGTACATTTGGAGTCTTTGGGCTTCCTGAAAAGTATGGATGCCCTCCCCTTGGGTCCAATTCCAGACCTGCTCCAGACTGCCTAACCTTGTCTCAGAGGCTGCCCTGCAAGTACCATAGGCAGGAAAGTGTGTGAGGTGGAGAGGGAAGGAAGCTGCTGAGGACAAGGAAGGAGGGAGGGATGAGGGAGCTGCAGTGCATTCTTTACAGTGAGAGGCAGTAGAGGGTAGGGCATCAACCCTTACTCATTCTTTCTTCTTGTCCTCTGTCAGATGGAAGGTAACCCCAGCTAGCCCCTGTTCCTCCACCTGTGGGCTTGGCTTAGCTGTTCAGCTGGTCACCTGTGTTCAGATCCACCAAGGCCAAGAGATGTTGCTGGAGGAGCATTTATGTCCTGTGGCAGAGAAGCCTCTTACCAGCATCCCCTGTGTCATCCGAATGTGTTCTTATGAATGGGGCTTCAGCGAATGGACAGAGGTATCGGCTCTTGTTCCGATGCAGTACTTGGGGTCCAGTGCAGCGGTTTTATAGCATTTGCTTTCATAAAGGATGCAGGGGGGAAATACCACTTCTACCTTGTATGTTCATTTCCACAGAAATGCTGAACTGTTTCTGGAGGATGTTTCCATCCATTCCACTGTCCTGTGTTTAGCAGCTGTAGGTATACGTAGCTGTTACATGCTACATGTTATATGCTGGTACATCTAAGGGGTCTTCTGGAAGGTGGGCCAGCTTTGTTATTCCCATCTTATAACTGATGAAACTAGAGCGCTGAGAGGCCAAGTGACAAAACGGCATCAGTGAACAGAGGATCGGGCATGCTGGATCTTTCCTGAGCCAATAAATGTACTTATTTCTGCATACCACCTGAAATGTATGTAAAAAGGCCTATGGGTTTCTTCCTCTGCAGTGCTCCACTTCATGTGGGAATGGTGTTCAGACACGTCAGGATTTCTGCCTCAACCCGCTAACCCGTAAGCACGTGAACCCCATCTTCTGCAGGCACTTCCCCAAGGCCATTGTGCTGCGTGGCTGCTCCGCAGGGCCCTGCCATGAGCAGGCCGTGGCAGCCAGATCCCATGGAGCAGAGCTCCAGACAGTGACACCAGCCATGCGTCCGACGACAGCTGTAACTGCCAAATGGGCAAGATATAAGGGTCTGGATCTTCTTCCATCTGCTGTGCCACCTGTTCCTCAGGAACCAACAGAGGAGACTAGTGGAGGTGAGAAGGATGCTACCAAATGGTAGAGTTAGGTTGTCACTGCATGCAGCTGTGTTGCAGTGACCCTGCTGCCGTACCGGGACAGGTTTATGGGAGGGAGTTCCCCATGCACTTATCTTGGCCTCAGGAGGGACAGCAGGCATACCAGCACAGGGAGGTTCCTGGAGGTCTTCACTGTTCCTTCCAGCATGTCATAAGCAATCCATGCTATCCAAATTAGGAAAAACGACTCTCTTCCTTGGGCTTTCTAAAGCTCTTCTGACTTGAGGCTGCTTGGGACAGAAGCTGACTCTTCCAGTGCTTTACCCAGAAGGTGGGCACGCTGTTGGTACCTCTGTTCATTGTGCCATGAAGGGAACGGGCTGCGTTTCGGCAGCTGTAATTCCCTCTGGATGTGTTATTCTTCTGCCTCTGTTGCGCAGGTGTCTGTGGGAGGCTCTTTCTCAATGCCACGGGGATCATCAACATGATGGGTGTAGAGGGCAGTGACTGCACTGTGACCATCGGACGCCCTCTCGGGGAGGAGATAAGAGTCAGCATTCTGGAGAGCTCCCTGAACTGCAGTGCAGGTGCTGGGGACTAGCCTGGCCCTTTGGGAAATCTGCACCTCCTTCCCCTATGTGCTGCCCTGAATGGATCTTGCTGCCCTGGAGCCTGTGTGTGCCAGTCTCTGAAATGCTGTACTAGTTTTTTCTGTCCCACCAAATCTTTCCCACATGAGACTAAGGTGATGCCTTTTCTTCCCCTACACAATGATTTCTTCCTTATTTTGTTGATAGATATGGGATTAAAGGAGTTTATGGGGTTAAAGGAGCTGCCCACTACAGCCTGTTATAAACTCTATCTGTAATACACCCTCTTGCTGGAATCAGTACAGTTAGATTAGTTAACTGAACTGTTTTCGTGACAGATTCTGATAAGATAAGGACAAGATGCAGCGATTACTAGATTCCTGACCTGTGTAAAATAGGAAGTCAGACTAAGTTCTGGCCTAAGTTATTTGAGACTTCAGACTAAGTTATTCAACTTGAAGTAAAAGTGATTCTAATCCCTGTGCTTATCCATTCCAGGAGAGCTACTGCTGCTTTCTGGGCGAATGATGTGGCAGACGGGCTGCAGGAAGCTCCCTTTGTCACTGATAAATTCCAGAACAAATACGCTGATTGTGAAACAGCGTGTTTTGATGCCAGGGAATGGGGTCGTTCTTCAGTACAGCAGCAGAGCGGCAACTAAAAAATATTACCAAGGTACCTTACTGAAATCTTCGCTATTGCTTTAGATTGAGGGACCCGTGACAAGGCCCTTAGAGTTCCACAGGTCTTGGCTGCCCATGGGAATATATGGAAGCATTGTTCCATCTCTAGGGGCTAATAAGCCCCTTTTCGAGGAGTGCTGGAATGAATATTATTTGTGGACTACCCCTCCATTTTAAAGGCATCCCCCTTTGCAGAGTTTGCTGGTGCTTGGAGGTCCCCAGACGAAAAGCCTGAGACATTTTTCTGCCCATGTTTAATTTAAAACTTTTTTTTTCTTGGAGATGCTAGACACTTTCTAAATCATCTTCTCTCCTGTTCCCCTTCCTCCTCTCAGACTGTGACAAGCAGTTGTTTGGTCCCCAAGGTGAAATAGTGAATCCTGTGCAATTGCCTGATCATAGGCAAGAAGTAGTGTGTCGGACCTTCATCAATGTGGCTCCTCGGCATCGCATAGCCATCCGCGCCCTGTATATTGACCTGGGCAATGAGAGCAACCAAACGCAATCTAATTATATCCTGGTGAGTCAGAAGGCTAAAGAGCGTAAGCGACCCTCTCGTCATGAGAGGTTTCCATCCAGATAGAAAGTTCAAAGTGTATCGTAAATCCTAGGGGGTCAGACTCTGATCTCTTATGTGAGTGGAGATGTGAATGAGCACCACTGATGTCTCTTGTATTTCCTCTAACCTTTGTTTAGGGCAGTTTTTTTCCCTGAGTGACCATTTGGCAAGACCCTCATACTTGGTGGGTGCTTGACTTGTAGGGTGCTATGAAATAATGATTTGGTCTTTCTTTATTCAGATCCGTGATGTAAGCACCATGAAGACGATGGTGTTTCATGGAAGACAACAATTCTTCTGGGAATCAACTGGAAGCCAAGCTGAAATTGAATTCCATGAAAACGTTAAGGAACATCGAACCCGTTTCTGGGCCGAATATCACATTGCTGAGCCCAACTAAAAGGTGCCAGGGCCACCCCACTGAGAAAGACCGTGATCCAATTAGTTACTGCTGCCCATTCACTCCTCCGGGTCATGCAAGTCATTTAACCTTTTTGCCTCTGCTTTCCCATCTACTGAGTTAGAACACTAATATCTGCCAAATCTTTTGGGATCTCAGTTAATATTTATAAACTTCATGCAGAAGACATTATCTGACTACCAAATATTTAACAAATAGTCCTCAAGGGTTTTCTGTCTGTATTGATTGGTATTAATGCAATGTACTTGTCTGCAGTTAGTGACTGGGACACTGAGGTCGTAGAGTCCTGTTTCTGTTGTATGTTGTCACCTTATAGGATGATCATTTCTGTTTTCAGTGTCCCATTACAAACCTCTATAAGTAGCTAAGATTATGGTTTAATCATTAAGTTCACGCTCCGGCAGCATAAATGCCCCTTCAAACTCAAGCCCATAGAATTCAGGTATAAAGAAGGCAAAGATGTGTATGAGGACAAGATGTTAGGACACGAAAACTAGACCAGTGTATGGGGGCAAGAGAGTTTCTTTGCCCAGGAGGGTAGTTCAACACTGGAACAGATCACCCAGGGAGGTGGTAGAATCTCTGTCTTTGAGTGTTTTCAAAACTCAGCTAGACCAAGGCACAGCTGACCTGGTCCAGCAGTGACAACAGTTTGGCTTTGTATGGGAGGTTGGACTAAGTGACCTCCAGAGGTCCCTCCCAGCCACCACTTGTGTGGTTCTACTATTACATGTTTGATAGTGATACCAGTACTTCCTTTCTATGAGAAAATAAAAGAACTCTGTTTCTCAACGATGAATTTGGTGCCAAGTTATATTTACTCAGATAGCAACAGTAGCTGTGCTAATAATCTGCTTGTCTCTTCATTTCACAGGAACTGGGCAGTGAGAGATTGTTGAGGCTGCACGAGATTATGAGTTGTAGCAGGAAGGAATATTTTAGAGCAGTGACAAATATTCTCTCAAGTTTGGTTTAAACATACATATATATTTTAATATCTTGAACATTTTCAGCGGAAGTATCCTCCTGCTTTGATCTAGATCTGTCATAGCATGCTAGGAAAGTGGTCTTTTCCAGACCTGGAGCTTGGTTGGACACCCCTGCTCCTACTGTTCATGCTGGATGCAATAAAAGGTTCTGCCTGGGCACGCTTAACTGTATCTCTGCCTTCATTTAGGTGAATTCTGTGACAACTTTTACAACTATAAAATCTTAATTTTTATCTCTTCTTAATTGTTGTTTTTGTTGGTTAAGCCTCAAATTTTTTTTTTTTTTTTTTTTTGCTTGCCAGCCTTCAGATTTATATTCCATTACTGGAAGAGCTAGAAAGTATATTCTTGAAGCTTGGTCTAAACAAGATCCTTAAGCAGCTGAATGTCTTTGGTATCCCATTGCATTGGTTGGGTGATACAAGCACTTTCCTGCTTGGAGTCTGGGCCTTCATTTCATAGCGTGTGCTTGTCTTCCAGGAGATATAATGGCAGTGAAAAAGCATCCTTCTCTTAGTTCTTTTTTTTAACCTTTTTGTAAATGGGATCTGTCTCCCTACTCTGTCCTGCATCCCAAATCTCACTGCTATTTATTTCACCAGATCAGCTACGCAGAGTCCCTGGTTGGCAGAGATGGGTTCTGAGTTCTGGTTGTATGCTCCGTATTAATTTGCAAGCTATGCAGCTGCTGCCTTTATAATCCAAGAGAATCAAGGCTGTTTTCACTGTATCCATTTTTCTGGGTCCCAACAGCTTGCCTCTGGCCTGCAAAGTCCTACTTCTACTCCTGTTTTCTAGGGAGAAAACTTGATTCCATTCAGATCAAGGGGAGTGTTTCCCTTTTATCTTGAAGGCAGAACTTGCTAACAATGTTCATGCTAAATTCATGTTCATTCAAAAATTCGTGTTGTCCTTTCCCCCTAGTGCATACTGGCTACATGGGTAACAGCATCTAGTGGTTGGATAGGGGCAGTAGGAGCCAGAGCTCCAGGTTTCTGCTCCTGGCTTTACCACTGACTTTACTGTGTGACAGTAGACAAATCACCTTCTGCTGAAGCCAAAGCTCAGCCGTGGGGGAAGTAAAACGGAGTGAATACAGGTAAGAGAAAAGCACAAAGTGCTCACATTGGCGTAGAGCTGAGGCGAGGGCGTACAGGACACCACAGTGGCTTTAAGGAACGAAGCTCTCACAATACCTCCCTCTGTGATTTGGAAATAGTGTTACAGCTGGGCAGTGATATCAGCCTGGTCAAAGCTTCTGGTGTGCGGTTTCTGTGTTCGGTGCTGGCGCAGAGATACGCTCGGGCCGGGCATGCGTGGCATGCAGCCTCCCGCTGTGCCTGCGCCAGCAGCTGCAAGGAGACGCCTGGACTAGCTGCTCCCTTGAGATCTCTTGTGCGTTCCTGGGGCAGACGCGTGCCCTTGCCCCCGAGCAGAGCCCGGCCGGCCCCTGCACCTCGTGCCTCTCCGCAGCCCTTATGAATATGTACACGAAGGGCTCTGCCCACCAGCCTTTTAACGAGAGTGACATCAAAGCCCTCCCTGCTGGAGGAGGGGACCCACAATGCAATACGCAGGGAGACGTGGAAGCTGCTCCCACGGCCGCTGGCATCGCGGACACAGACCCTCCATTGTCAGCCCCGGGGGGCAGCCGGGGCCAGGCCGCGCATGGAGGTGTGGGGAGAGGCCCAGCAGCGGCAGAGGTGGCCTTAGGGGCTGTCCCCAGCTCTTGCTGGAGGGAGACACGGGGAGAGGGTGCCACCTGGGGGGGCATCCTGTGCAGCTGGGGCTCAGGTGGGACGCGGGGTGCTGGCCCCTGACCCCCAGGTGCCATGGCCCGCGCCCCCCGGCCCGCCGGCTCCCCCCGCCGATGACGGCATGACCTGGTGGTACAGGTGGCTCTGCAGGATTGCCGGGGTCGTCGGGGGCGTGTGTAAGTATCCCCTTGCCTTGCAGGCCAAGGTTCTCCAGCGCCTCCGCTTGTGCATGCAAAAGCGTGTGCTGGGGTTCATGTCTGCCTGTCTTTAGCGTCATATATGTGTGGGGGGGGAGCACGAAACAATAGTTTGGGGCTGCAGGTTTGCCCCTGCCCTGCAGATGTAGGGTGCTGTGTTTCGGAGAGAAGGGACTCATGGCATGCCTGGACCGGGGTGGTTTTAGCATGCGCGCAAGGGATGTGCTTTACGCCCACTGACCTTACTGAACTTTGGCACCTGGGAGAAGGGATGTCACTTGGGGGGGATCTGCTAATCCTTGAGTTTCTTCTTGGGTAAAACACTCACTGGAAATGATAGGGGCAGGAGCCAAACCCTTGGTCCTGCCAGAGGACTGTGGGCAGACATGCTGGATGATTTTTTCGGGAGCACCAGGCTCAGGTACTCAGCAGGGTCATAAGCAGGGCTTGAGCAGGGACCGCAGGATTTGATTCATCATATTTGTCTGTCAGGTGTTTGAGTGTTCCTGCAACATGTTTTCTTTCCTTTTTCTGAATGTCAGAGTAGATTTTCTGTTATTCCTGTTGTTGATCACAGAGGGCCTAGCTGTGCTTTTCGAAAGAGGCTAATGAACTTTGTTTGTGCTGTGTGTTTTTAAGGGGTTTAGTCTTGGGCACACAGAAGACAGCGTACGGCAAAGCGAGCCAGCTGCGCTGTGAATTACCTGCTGCCGAAAAGCTTTTTCCCAAGGAAAGTCTTTGCAACTTTGCCAGAAACGAGCTTGTTCTGTGGTGCTGTTCTGCTACATTCTGCAAAGAGATTAATAGCTCTTAAAAGCAGGAGGGACTGTTATGACCACTTAGTCTGATCTCCTGCAGAGCACAGGATGGAGAATTTCTTCTGCTTCAGGTCCCTGACTTCTAGTAAAACAAGAATGTTTCTCAGCCAGTACAGTCAGTCCTGATTTATTCTCTCTGCTGTGGCGTTTCCTTTGATCCCCCTCTCTTCCCGCCCCCTTTCCACGCCAGGCTCTTGCTCGGGACTCGCCTGCACAACGCCGTGGCGTTTTTGTAGCCGACTTTGTGTACTGCGGTATCGCGGAGCAGGCTTGTTGCAACCCGTTTGGGTTACGCTGGTAGAACAGATGCTGCTCTCGCTGTTGTACGGTTTAGCTGCTGAAATTCTGGAGGTGTGAAAGGATTTCTTAGGACTGCTCTTACGGGACAGAACATACCCATCCCGCCGTGCTCGGCCGGAGGCCCCCTCTGCTTCTGGTCCCGGCAGATGGCCAAGACACCAGCTGCAGCGTCTCCAGTGTGGGTCCTGACAGAGGGATTTTGTGTAGCGGCATCTTTCCCACGGCCTGTGACTGTAGCCAGAGCCTCGGCACCTTTTGTGCAGCTCGGGCCCATGCACGGTTTAGAGGGACGTGGGCAGAGGCCTCGGCCAAGCCCCAAGCTGGAGGGTGAAAAGCTGGAGAGGGTGGCTGGTAGGTCACACTGTCAACCTCAAGTGCTGGAACAGCTCAAGGGTGGCTTAAAAGCAGTGACAATTCTTCGAAAATATGTTTTTTCTCCAACTTCAGGTTTACAAGCAGCTGAGTTATATTTGGATTATTTTCCCAACCTTTTGTTCACAGCTTTGAGAACTCATGACTTATTTTGAATGAAAGCTGGGAGTTTTACGTAGTCGAGTGAGTCTGGGAGAAGAAACTTGCAGAGGGAAGAACCAGATCCTTAACAGCACTACAGCTGATTTGGGAAGTCGGAAAACTTGCTCCATAGCCCTGGCAGCCTCTCTTCAAGAGGTTTGTGGTGCAGAGAACTGGACAGCTAGAGACACAGACTGCCGTCACAAGTAGGGAAATGGGAGGTGATGGACAGAAGCAATCCTCTGGTGCTCTGTGCTAATAATGACCCTCTTCACGGTGCTCCTTGTCCAGCATCGCCCTGTTGAAACTGGGTAGTTCGAGAAGGGGTGACAGTAATAACTGGGCAAGCCTGGGATCTGCCTCTGGTTTCAGAGCTTGCTGTGGAAGACTAGAACTCATTTATTAAGTATTTTGGGAGACTGGATTGTGGCTGCTGTGAGGATGGATTACTTTTTCAGAAGGCTAAATTCCCTGTAGACAAGAAGAGAGACGTTTTTTAGTGGAAGTGAGCCTAGGAGGCAACATCTACCATGTGCAAACACCTGTAGCCCACAGCATGCTTAAGATAGAAGGGTCCAAGGGCTGGAGCTGGGGACAAGATGGCCAAGGGTTGGGACCTATTTCTGGCTCTTACACACGTTGGCTTTGTGACCTTGGCCAAGTCCATTTTCCCCCTTGAGTTCCCATTTGTAAGATGATGGTGAGATTCCCTAGCTTTTGTAAAATGCTTTAGGAGCAAAAATAGGGTTGCATTGAGGACAGTGACCAGCTGCTTGAAATGAATAAAGTCTTAGGGTGCGTTTTTTTTTTTTTTTCTCCTCATTTTAGCTCCTTGCTATTTGTGCTTCCTCAGAGATTCAGCATGGGACAGCAATCAAACAGCAGAAGTGTCTGTCCTCCATAGCTCATGTGCCATCAAGCACTGTCTGAATTTTAAACCTCTTCTGAGGCCTCTGCGTTGCAAAAAGAAGTCTCTGGGTTGGCAACTCTGTTCCCTTCTGGCTCCAGAAGCAGGAGCGGATCCCATCCTAGTGGGACAAGGTTGTGGCAGGCTGCTGTGGGGCGCGTTGCAGCGGGAAGGAGACTGAAGGTCACCGAATCGTTATCTCTGTGGCTGTTGGCAACTGCCACAGGGTGCAGTGTTTCTGTGTTTATAAACCTCTGACTCCTTTCCCGCTGGCTGGTGCTCCCGCTCCTCGTGTGCTGACGTAGGGGCTTGCTCAGGTCAGGCTTGCTGGGTCATTAGTCCGTTGGCAACCAGGGTGACTGCTTAGCTGGGAATGCTGCGAGGACGTGTAGTGCTCAAGGGCTGTTTGATGGTGTTATGTAGGCCAAAAATCTGCTTGGAAAATAACGTTCTGTCTCCCTAGCTTTGCTCTGTGGCTTAGATCAAATCTGTAGCTCTCCAAGCCTCTTTGCCCATAACGCTCTGTTGTGCTGCTGAGGAAGGCAGTGATCTGCCCCAGCGGCAGCTGCGTGTCAGGCTTAGTCAAGATGTGGTTGGTTTTGCTGCTCTGCTAATTCTAAAGTGCTTTAAAGTCACTTACCGTTACTCTTAGGACTGTGCTTTCCTGTGAGCAGAGCAACTGTCAGAAGCCTTTGGTGCTCCCCGTGTGCTCCTCTTCTGTCCATGAGCATCGGAGGGTTTGGCAGGCACAGAGAAGAGTTAGAAACCTCTATATCATGCCCGTGTGTCCATGCTGCCTGCTGCTGCCAGCAATCCTACTTGCTGTGGCTTTTCCAGCTCTCTGGCTCTTTGCATGGGTGACCGCAGATCCCACCCCACTGCCTCAGTTTCTCCCCGCAGCGTGGGGATGCTGACACTGACTCCTTTGCGAGGGGAGGAGGAAGGTGCCGTTGGAGCTCGGTTGTCAACGCGTTCTTTGTCATTTCTATTGGCTGAGCCTATTTTTCTTGCAGGATTCTCTGAAATACTTTGGGTCCTATGAAATAGTCCTAGGAAGCTTTTAAAAATAACCTCGTTTTGCTCTTTCCTAAAAACAGGGGGCCACTGGCTTGTGGAGTGACCTTAGATTGGTCCCATCGTAGGCCTGCAGCTATGTTTCTCAGTCTGGTAAACAGGGGTAACTATTCTTAAGGGAGCTCTGAGGATTCAGCAGTGGCTGCTTAGAAGAAACCTTGTGCACGTGTGCCTGCTTTTGGAAGGGCGGCAGGATTGCTCACAGCAGCCCTGCTCTGGGATGCCCTTAGCAAAACACGGGCAAGCGTCTAAAATAGCAGAACCCAGGTTGGTCTCATTCTCGGAGAGAGACACCACTGCTCATTGTGCAGCTAAACTTTCCCAACCCAGCCTTTAAGAACCATATGATTTTAGCTGGGCTAAAATTATTTATTATTGTGCTCTATTCTTGCACTGTATAGTAGTGCTCTGTTACTGCACTGTGCTGTTTCCTGTGGCCTCAGCTGCTGCCGCGGGGCCGGCTGGGTCTCCCTCCCCTGCCTCCTCTCCGGCTCGGCTCGGGTTCCCGGGTGAGCAGCGGCAGCCTATTGCTATCTGCAGAGGACAAGGGCCATATCAAGTGCAGGGAACATTTTGCAAGTTTAATGAGGCAGGAAGTAGGTGCCTGCAGCCTTGGCTTGGATGCAGCCGTTGGGTTCCTCTCCTTCATTACAAATTCAGGACTGCTGGAGCTATTTTGGGCCTGGCTTTAGCCAGTATCCGCTTCCATTTCTGTTAGAGGAGACCCAAAATGAGCTCTTGGTTCTGCCCGTCCCTGGCGGAGTTGTGCAGAGCCTGCAGCGTGTGAGTTTGAGTTCGCCTCCACTTTATTTATGTGTTGTCCCATAGGCCTCTGGTTTGCTCCATCTGCAGGTCATTTTTTTGCTGAATTCTTTACTTGTGGCTGGTACCCACAGGGACCTCCTTGTTCATCTCGAGACAAACCAGTAATTCCTCAGCAAATAAAAACCAGCATGCTGCTTAAGTGATTGCAGTTAAAAGCAACAGGAAATCAGCCCAAAACGCAGGAGGGCAAAATCGTGATGAGTGCCAGAGCTGGGAGGAACGGCCGGCCCTGCCTGCCGTGTCACGGACCTTCTGTCCCCGCGGGCGCACCGGGTGCATCTTCATGGTCACTCAAAGCCTCTTTGCTTTCTAGCCTGTGCCTTTGCTGGCCTCTGGAACTGCGTCACCATCAACCCTCTGAACATAGCGGCTGGCGTGTGGATGATGTGAGTAGAGTTTCTTTTCTTTTTTTTTCCTGCTGGGAGAGAGTATCTGTTAATTAAATGCCATTTAGCAAGAGACAGAGCTGCCCTGCTGGGCAACAACTCAAGTGAAATGTCCATCTGGTCCTGCAGGAGAGACCCGCTCTGCGACTTGTCACAATCTTCTCAGTCCGGGCAGTTGAGACACTGGATTTATTGTATTCATAGTCCTCTTCTCTTCCTACCCCTTCCCCATCCCTTTCCAGGTAGATACTGGGATACCCCTATCCAAAATCAATCTGGAGGAGCACCCTGGGCCCAGAGTTTGGGAATTAGTAAGATGGGGGGGGAAAGA